TATTTGGCGCATCTTCCTAACACCTCGTCGAACGTCCTCCCGGGTCGCTTTGCTAGGGAGTTTCTGCATAGCCCTGGGAGCAGCCCTCGAGTGAGCCCTCCTGACTAGATTTCCTCGGTGGCCGAGGGGACGTCGACGCATGCCCGTGTGTACCTTGCCACATAATCCCTCAATGATTCCCCTTCTTTCTGTTGCATACCTATCAGAGTAAGGTAAGACTTTTCTTGGGCTTTCACACTTGCGAATTGATTTAGGAAGCTCGAGCTGAATCCGTCAAAGTCCCTGATGGCACCTGGGGGCAATTGGTGAAACCAATCCTGCGCTGGTCCTCGCAGGGTCGTCAAGAACGCTCGACATTGAACGGGGTCGTTATAACGGTGCAGCACTGCCATGTTTTCGAAACTCCTTAGATGTCGAGAGGGATCAGTCGACCCGTCATACCAGATGTTGAGCTCCCTGAACCCCTGAGGCAAGTCGGCGTCTAGAATATGTTGCGAAAAAGGATGCCCCCTCAAGCTTCCTGTTTTTCTTCCTTCCACTCGAGCCTGCAAGTCTCGGACCTGCGCTAACAGCTGCTCCAGGGTATCGTTTCTGGCTTGTGGATTAACAGTTCTGACAGAGGACTCTTCTTCGTCTACCCTCCTATTCTGCCTCTCATGTGATTGCGCCTGTTGCTCGCGCTCAAGGAGTTGCTGCTCATTTTGAGGCTGCTCGACCCTTGCTTGTTCGATCCTGGGCCGTTCGACCCTTGGTTGCTCAACTGGCGTCTGTTTGAGTTGGGCCGCTACTGCCTTCGTGATCATTTTCTGCATCTCGCTTCTCGTCACGGTCAGCATTTGTTCCTCGACTTGGAGCGGTGGCCTTGTCTCCGGATCAGGTTGCCCAGGTTGCCTCCCTAACCTTAAAGATATTTCGGTTGACGCGTGACCATCCACTCCTCCGCTCGTGTCCTTCACGTGACTGGCCTCCCCTTGGGTGAGAACCGGGATCTTGACTCCGGGTGGGGTAATAGGCGTCTCCTCTCCCATACGCCCTCCTGACGGCGCGTGCGCCCCAAAAGGTGGGAACCCCAGCACCTGGAGTGGCGGTCTAAGGCTGGGAATCGGAGGAGGTCGCTTGTCAGTCCATGTCGCCCTGAAATCTTCATTCAAGTTTTTCTTCACTCCTTCCTTCTCAGCCATCGGAAACAGATCAAAGCTAGGTGTAAAGCTCTTAATTTCTTCAAGAACTCCCCACAGACGGCGCCAAATGATGGGTCTATTTCCGGATCTGTGTGTGAACCGGTGGAAAATCGCCCGGATCTGGAATGAACCGATGTGAACGAGCTCAGATTTGTCCTGATGGTCTCCAAATTGCTATCGAACCACAGGAACACCTACAAGAACTCAACGCCGGAGGGATTCCCGGCGTAGAGCCTTCGACGCTCAAGTCAGTATGTGAAAGAGACGAAGGGAGCTGCTCTGAGAGAGCAGCAACAATGATGAAAAGAATATGGAATGGGAGTTAGGGTTTTGGGATTACCTCAGTCCTTTATATAGAAGTGCAATATTTACCTGAAGTCCCCAAAGTGCCCCGACCGACTTACTGGAAATGTCCAAAATACCCTGGTCGGTTCGTATTCTGCCTACTTCCTAGTCAGCATCTAGATCCTTCCTTAGCTTTCGTCTTTATCCTTAACTTTCCCTCAATACGCTGAGGTGTATCAAAGCTGACGAGAACTATGAACTGCAAGATTCCTTCAGTCGACCTGAGATATCGACTCGAGTCGACTGGACCGTATTCAATCACTAGTGGATCCTGATACGTCTGACCATAGTCTTGGCAGAAATCGACTTATGTTAGTCGACATGTGTACGTCAACTCAGACGAGAGCCGGGATCCTTGACTGTGAGTATCGTGGAGCCTTATTGGCGGAGTCGACTTTGTTAAAGTCAACTTGATAATTTCTGAACTGTGATGATACGGACCGGTATGAGCCAGTGTGGCTATATCACTTCGAAAGTAGGAATTGGTGCTGTTCTTAGTCAGGAGGGTCGTCCCGTATCGTTTTTTAGCGAGAAATTATCTGGCCCCCGCTCGCGATACAGTGCTTACGATGTTGAGTTCTATGCAGTCGTGCGCGCCGTTCGTCATTGGCGCCATTATCTTTTTCATCGGGAGTTTCTTCTCTACACAGATCACGAGGCCCTGCGTCACTTAGCTTCCCAGGATAATATTTCGGCCCGTCATGCTTCTTGGGCAGCCTTTTTACAGCAGTTCACATTTGTGCTACGCCATCGTTCTGGAGCTTCGAATAAGGTGGCTGATGCCTTGAGCCGTCGGTCATTATTGTTGACGGATATGCGAGTTTCTGTGATCGGATTTTATGTGATGCGCGAGCTGTATGCTGACGACTCTTTCTTTGGCCCGATTGTGCGATCACTTGCTTCCGGTCCCTTTGAGGACTATACACTCGTTGATGGGTTTCTCTTTCGGGGTCTTCGGCTGTGCATTCCGGATTGCAGTCTTTGCCAGAAGCTGATCGCCGATCTTCATGGTGCTGGTCATGTGGGGCGCAACCGTTCCGTCGCTTTAGTGGGTCGTTCTTATTTCTGGCCTTCCTTGCGTCGTGACGTGACCAGATTTGTTACTCGTTGCCGTGTGTGCCATGTTTCCAAAGGGGTTGCCTCGAATGCTGGTTTATACCGACCACTGCCCATTCCATCACGACCATGGAGTGCGATTAGCATAGACTTTGTAGTCGGGTTGCCTCGGACTCAGCGTGGGTTTGACTCCATTTTTGTGGTTGTCGATCGTTTCTCGAAGATGGTGCACTTCATTCCCTGCAAGCGCACCACCGATGCGGTCCATGTCGCCCAGCTTTTCTTCCGCGAGGTCTACCGTTTACACGGCCTTCCCTCTTCGATCGTCTTGGATCGCGATACTCGATTCCTGAGCCATTTCTGGTGTACCTTATGGCGGATGGCGAATACACGTCTGGATTTCAGTAGTGCCTATCACCCCCAGACGGATGGGCAGACTGAATTGGTTAATCGTTCGTTGGGCAACTTGTTGCGTTGCTTGGTGGGCGACAATCTCTGTAGCTGGGACCAGCGTTTGAGTCAGGCTGAGTTTGCCCACAACTCCGCCGTGAGCCGTGCCACTGGTATTTCGCCTTTTGAGGCGGTTTTTGGCCTCATGCCCCGTGGATCGACCGACCTAGTCACTCTACCGGCAGGCGTGCCCGGTGATCGACGTGCTGTTGATCTCATCGGTGATTTGCGTGATATTCATGCCAAGACTCGGGCTCATTTGGAGGCCACGACGGAAGGGTACAAACGTCGGGCCGACATGAGGCGTAGGCACGTCGAGTTCGAGGTGGGTGATTTTGTTTGGGCGGTCCTGACGAAGGATCGTTTCACTGCCCATGAGTACAACAAGCTTTCGGCCCGAAAGATTGGGCCCGTTGAGGTAATCGAGAAAATCAATCATAATGCTTATCGCTTGCGCCTTCCTTCTCATATTCGTACTTCTGACGTTTTTAACGTCAAACACTTGGTGCCTTATTCGGGTGATAATTCCGAGGAGGACGAGGCCGCTTCGAATTCGAGGCCGAATCCTTCTCAACTGGGGGAAAATGATGGAGACGAGGCCACTTTGGCATTCTTGGATAAGTTCGACCGGCTCAAGATTTAGTTATCATATTATTTTGCTATCTTTATTATTTTGTTTGCTTTCTTTAATTTATTTACTTTCCTAGTTAATATCTTTATTTTAGGAAATAAATAATACTCTTGCACCATGTTAGGCAAGAGTAGGACTCTTTTATTTAAAGGCAAGATTATCTGATGTAAAACTCAATTTTTTGATGAATGGAAATTGATCGTTCCTTCGTCAGGGAGAATATCTCTAGGTTCTATCATCGTCTTGAGAGAGTATCTCAAGCACCCAACGCACACGTTCTACATCATTCGACCACTAGTTCGGCCAATAAACCATTGAACCAGTAGCTTCACCGATGACCGGTCATAACAATCTAACATTCAATACTATTATAACCACCTAAAATAAAATTTCCTCAATATTAAACATGCAATAAATTTATGCAATCTACTCAAAGACAATTGCATTTGACCTCATAACCCCCACACCTTAAAAGTTGTAATCTAATTAATGTAGCAACGATGAATTTATTGTTTAATTGACTCCTAACTGAAAATGGATATTGCAATTCGTAAGATCCACTCAACTCATCAAGATTTTGGCGTTGTGTTGGTTTGTCTAGGAACCTTGGGGTGTTCCTCCTATTTTTTTTTCGTTAAAATTAAATTTATAAATCAATATTGGAATACAAACGACCAAAAGTCGACATACACAAACGCAATGGGCAGCCACAAGTTCGGCTCCTCACTCGCATATGGACAGTCTAAGACAATCACATGTCGGTTGTTAACTCAAGACTCTAATAAGACAAAAAGAACCAAAACACTAATGCTACACGACGCTATGCTTGGCTCGACTCCCTCCACGGCTAAGGCGTCGTTGGACATGCTCTTGCCGTTATTCTCAATCTCCCAATGCAAGAGATAAATCTATCATAGCCCAAGGCGTTTCCTCTCAAACTCAACAAGTACAATTGGACGTTGTATGCTCATTGTCGAGCTCGGTACATTTTTGGAGATATAATATCTGTCGTTTCGAAAAAAAAATAAATAAATCAAAATTTGATAAATAAGAATTTTTATGTAAATTTTATGAACTTTTGGGCTTGGCTTTTGTTAGATCTCTCTTTACAATAAAATCACTATCAATGGAAACAACCTTACATTAGCTTATTTATCACGTTGAATTTCATTTTTGCTTTAGCTCACACAGAAAACAAAAAGTAATGGAGGAACAGTAAAGCAAGCCGGACAAACAAAATCCCCTTTTCCATACTCACCCAACACATCCACACGGCAGCGCACCGCCGCTGGACCTTCACCCGAGGAGTATAAAGCATCGGAATACGGCGCGCCTGTATGGGGGCATCACTATCAAATTTGACCGAGAACGGGCCGGGCCTTGGCGACATACCGGAGAACTGCGTGGCGCGCGTGTTCCTCCACCTCCCGCCGCCTGAGATATGCAACCTGGCTCGGCTCAATCGCGCCTTCCGCGGCGCCGCGTCGTCGGACGCAGTCTGGGAGACCAAGCTTCCGCCCAATTACCACCACCTCCTCGGCCTCCTGTCTCGGCCCGACGTCCATCGGAGCCTCCGGAAAAAGGACGTTTTTGCCCTCATATCCCGGCCCCTCCCTTTTGAGGACGGCAACAAGGCACGTGATTTTCAGTATTTTGGGTTTTTTCCCCCTTTTGTACTTCGTATTTCCTCTATTTTGTTCCACATTTGTCAGTAGTACTTAAATTCCTGCTTGATTACATCGTGTAAATTTATGAGTTTTTGCTGGAATTGAGTACACTTGAATCTTTTGCTCTGCTTGATTTTCGTACAGTGATCTCAAATTGGCCATAAACCAATTAGTTTAGCATTAAATGGCCAAATAAGAAGTGTTTTTTGTATGGACTCTCTCTATACTGTTGTAGATTTACTTTTCACTTAGCATGGCACAATTGCAGGTGGTGTGGGTGGACAAGTTCACAGGGAGAGTCTGTGCTTCAATATCGGCCAAGGCAATGGCAATCACAGGCATTGAGGACAGGAGATATTGGAATTGGGTACCAACCGAGGAATCTAGGTTAGTTTTCGGCTTTGTCTCTATTGCACTTTACATGTCGACGTATATTTATCCATCCAATGATATCAAAAATCATGAACTGGTGTTAGATATGATTTTATTAATGTATTGTAAGGTAAAACCCTATCTAAAGTTGAGCACAAATTTGTATATATTGTTGCTGAAGGCCGATGAGAGCTCGAGTATCGAATTTATTCATGATTTTGTATGTAATCTTGGGTGAGCTGTTCTGTCATGGCCCACATCGACTGTTTTCTTTATCTCATTTATTACTCGCGTTGCCACTCGAACTTTCTAATACTTTTAAAAGAAGTAAATTGCTAGGTTTGTTCAGCAAAGATATGATTAAGCTGTGGAGTTCTTGAATACAGATGAATGTTTGTTTAAAACAGCCAATTTGAGAATTGGATACTGAAATTTCAAAATTGTGCCTAAGCAAACATGAATCGAACAATTTCACTAAGTTTGAGGATCTGTCAGCGTGTATCAGGGAAAAAAGCATAGAGCGGTCTGTGTGTCACACTACTGGATTAAGATTCATGTGTATCGGGTTTCACATCCCTATAAAGATGTCAGATAGCTTCTATTATAGTTGGTCTAGGCTGTAAGCCGTATTCCTTTTCACATCCTACTCAGTGTGATTTTCATGATTTATAGACCTGTATTCCTTTAATGCGCGAAGTTCAATAGTTTCGATTCAGGTTCTCCATTGCAGTAGGAAGATGAAGCCTCACTGCTTCAAATGACAAAGTTTGTGTATATATATATATCATGTCATTGAGGTTTTTTGATAGTGCTAGGACTGGAGTTTCTTCCAGTTGTTACTTTAACTTCAAGTAAAGCAAAAAATCTTTCTTCCCTTTTTTTTTTTCCTGGAACTATGTGGTCATGCAAGCTCTGGTTTATGTTTATTTTTGTCTACTTCTTTCTTGTTTTTTTTTGGGTTTATGTCCAGTTACTTAAAAACTAAATTCATTAGTATATTCATAAGTTTGGCCTATAAAACGGTTAATTATCTGTGTTTGCAGCTCATGATTTGTGATCATATCTATTCTTTGCAGATTTAGTGTTGTGGCCTATTTGCAGCAAATATGGTGGTTCGAAGTTGACGGCACTGTAAAATTCCCCTTACCGCCTGATTTATACGCACTGTCTTTTAGGATTCACCTCGGCAGATTCTCCCGAAGGCTCGGCCGACGCGTTTCCAGTTTCGAACATACTCACGGATGGGACATCAAGCCCGTGCGTTTCGAGTTCTCTACTTCAGAAGGCCAACAGGCATCGAGAGAGTGCTTTCTAGACGATCCACAACAAGATGACAATAGCAATAGCAATAGCAATAACTATACGAATACGAGTCTCAAACGTGGCTTCTGGATAGATTACAAGGTTGGTGAATTTACTGTCAGCCAATCGGATTACGAAACAGAGGTGAAATTTTCTATGAAACAAATCGACTGCACGCATTCGAAAGGCGGGCTCTGTGTCGATTCTGTTTCGGTTATTCCAGTTGAGTTGAAAGAGCACAGAGGAAGAGGGGTTTTGAAGTAGATACTGATGTTGTGTTGTGTGTCTTTTTGTTTTTCCTCTTCCTCCTGTTTTCTTGGAGAAAAAAAATAAATATAAAAATTTGGGGTTTGTACTTCTGGAAGAAAACATTGGTTTTGCTGTAGCCTGTAGGGTGAAATTCAGCTTCCTCGAGTAATTCATTGTTGTGTTTTATTTGTTTATTAAGTACAAATATAATACAACTTAACAAAGTATAAATACAATTCATAGTAATTCATATGAGTTTTCTCCTAGCTTGGTATGGCTCTCACAGATCATTACATTTCCTGTTTTGAAATATTTTTACATACATTTTTTTGTCAAGGATATTTATAAAAACATTTCTCCAAAATATGATATAAGTAAATTAATTTTAATGTATAAAATATTTTATCTAATATATCAAGCTTTTAGAAGCTCTACAAAATTATCAGCCACACACAAATTTAAATATGTGCAAAATAGTCTTTTAAGAAACAACATTTAATTAACTACAAGAATTTTCTTCTATCAAATTTAATAAAATTAAGGATTAGATTGACTCAATGATTCTTTTTCTTATTATATCCTCTCTTTCTCCCATCTCATGTTCCGACAAAGTATTTTTTCTTAATTTTATTAATTGAGTATTAAACTAACTTTTGAATCATAGAGAGAATATAAGTACAAGTATTTTTTTAGTGTGGGCCTAGGCCCATGCTGGGCTAAATAAGGATCCGCACCTGAGTACAGGTGCTCATGCAAATGCACGGAAGCTATCAAAAAAAAAAAAAAAAAAATATTAAAAGAGTATTTGCAATTTATACAAATGCATAACCATTAAATATTATTATTATTATTATTATTATTTTTTTCCGGAACGATAGAACTATTAAATAACTAGCACAAATGTGCAAAAAAGCAGCCACCGACTGAATACAAAGCAGCTAACAGCCGAATAGAAACAACCAACAGCTAAAAATAGGGAGGACAGGTCAGAAGACCGCCTAAAACCGACCCCAACGGGGTAATAAGCGAAAAACACAAAAAAACTACTAACAGACAACACATAAACCCCAACAGGGTAATACAACACATAAAGACCCCAATAGGGTATGCCCGAGTGTAGATCCCAACAGGATAATAAAGGCACACTCGGGCTCACTGAAGCCAACGGCCTAAACCAAAAACGCATCCAAACAACACAAGAACCTAATGAATAACATCAAACAAAAAGACACAAACTAAACACCAAAAAAACTCAGAAAAAAGAGCCCTTCCTAAGCTGCAACACCGAACCGAACTAGCGGACATAAGCCAACCACGAATCCCAAAGCCACAAGCACCGATCCGAAACTGCCAAAACCACTTGGTTGCCTAACGGAATCGAAGCCCCAACTCCGGAATCACAGGCCGACCTGCACCACGGCCACAACACCCAATTGTTGCCAAGAAACAATGGAGTGCCATAACCCCAGTGTCGACCCTAAAATGCCAGCCAGCTGCACAAAAAGCCTCCACACCACTGCTGCAACATCCCTACCAACACCACCGGAGGAAGAGTTGAAGCGCCGGCCCCCATCGACCCGAAAAACGAGACCAGGGGGAAGGCCTTGCGCATCCACGCCGCCCCGACGCACAACAAACAATTCGCCGAGCAATTGGGCCAAATCCCTCCCCGGAACAGCACCACGGCTCCACCCACTCACGACCGAGAATCCCCCAAATGGATTTAACGGAACGGCGCCGGAAAGGCGATGACCATCCGCGACCGAAGAGGACTCCATCCAAAGAAAACTGGAGGCATAGCAGAAGAAAAAAGGGGGGGGGGGGATTCAAGCTATTAGGGACCGCCGACTAGGCTCGGTGGCCGCTGAGGAAGGCGGACGACGTCAATTTGAACACTTCCTTATATCTTTGTTTTTGAGTCATCACAAATTAATATTTTCAATCATTTATCATTCGTAACTCGTGAAACAACGACATAAAGTTGTTAAATACAAAGTTCTTCAGGTATAACATTCATATAAATTACTTCTCAGTAACTAAAATATATATTTTATTTTTTGTATGCATAAGATATAATTACCGATTCATGCATAAATACAAAGTTCTTCAAGTATAACATTCGTATAATTTAATCCTCAATAAATATAATCTTTGAGAAATTTTCATCTTGAAGTTCACCATAAAATTTATCTTGAACCTTAGTTTGATATCTGTCGCCATTTGGTGGTACAATAAAATGTGGATGCCAATGACTCCAGTCGAACAAACTACGTGAATATTTTGGATTGAGCCATAGATTTATATCCCGATAAAGGGGGACATGTAAAACTTTAAAAACACAAATATTAGGAAATAAAATAGTACAATAACTAATTTGTAAACAAAAATGTCTTAAAAGAATCACCTTGAAATATTAATACTCGAATAATCAATTGCATATTTATAAACTACCACATTATATTTTACTAAATAAAAAATATTGTAGCAAAGGTAACGATTTAAGCCACTCACAATGTAACTTCCGAACATCTGTATTTTTAACACTTTAAGGTTTTACTGTATTATTAACTTCCATATGTTAATATTTAAAAAAAAATAGTATATTTTTTTGGACTTTGTTTAGTGTTATTAAATATGTTTAACGGATTCATGTATTAAAACAAAATATTTTATAAACATGCATAAATTTGTAAGTCTACAATAATTAAATAACTCTCATTAACACATAAATCATATTTTTATGTTATCGCGATATTACTATTAAATACACATGTATTTACGAAATACTAATTTGATATTTATCAAAAAATATTCTACAAACATGATCTTATTTATTTATTATGAAAAATATTTGTGATATTACTATTAAATACACAGGTATTTACGAAATACTAATATGATATTTATCAAAAAATATTCTACAAACATGATGTTATTTATTTATTATGAAAAGTGTGAGTGATTCATTGCGCCTGTTTTTAAAACATAAAATTTATAAAATTCAAGCAAGAAACATAACGAAGACTCATAATTATTATAATTTATAAAGTATAAATTATAAAAATTAAATAAATAATTTAATATATTTAATAAAAAATATAACAAATTTTATAAAAATACTTTTAATTGTTTGTATTATATTAAAAAACTCTCACAAAAACGTGTCAAATCATTAAATAATGAATGTTGAATAATTATCGATAAACTAAATAAATACATCTCGTACTTTTAATTATTTTTGTTTGTATTGTAATTAAATAACTCGTACTTTTAATTATTTTTGTTTGTATTGTAATTAAATAATAGGTGTTGTATAGATATCGATAAACTAAATAAATACGTTTTAATTGTTTTTATTAAAAATTGAGTCACAGAACGAACACGTGCCAAATTATTAATAAACTAAATAAATATTAGTGTGCCAAATTATTAAATAGTGAATAAACTAAATAAATATTAGTTGAAGTAGTTAATATTAATATAAATATGAATACATGTCAATGAGAATTTTGCAAAAATAATTAAAGTGTGTAGAACCACATAAAACTTTCTAAAAATGAAAATCGAGTTGTCTAATCAGTAGACAGATGCTTTCTCGAAATGAAAATAAAAAAATAAAAAATAATAATAATTACATAACCGACCCGAAAATTACACTTTCTACAAGCTCAATATCATAATTCACGTTTATTACAAAAAAACCCCCCACAAATCGAAGGAACCAAATTAAAAATTCACAAACGGCTATTATTAACCTTAGCTGCCCCCGCACTCGCAGTAGCAGTCTTCCCCGTCAAGTAATCCACCGCCCGCCTGGCGGCCCCCGCCGCCGTGTCCTTCACCTCCGCCACCTTCCCCGCCGCCGCGTCCTTCAACCCCGCAGCCTTCTCCGCCGCGGCGGCGTCCTTCGCCTGCCTCGCCTTGTCAGCTGCGTACCCCAGCCCTCCCTTGGTCTTCTCCGCCTCGCGGTCCTTGTGCTCGGAGGCGGCGTCCTTCATCTCCGCCGCCGTGTCGCCGACGTCGTTGCGGGATTTTCCCACGACGGCGTCCTTGGCTCCCTGGACGGTGCAAATTATGCTGCCGATCACGCCGGGCTGGGGTTTTTCCTCGTGGGCTCCACCTCCACCGTAGGCGTGCGCCGCTGTGGGCTCCGCTGTCTCGACGTCTTCCCCCTCCCTCCTTTCACGGTTGGCATGGTGGAGCTCGTCGGCTGCGGCATCGGCCTTCTCTTCCTTTCCGGCGGTCTGCCTCGACGCCATTTTTTGCTGTTTCCGGTAGTTGGGACGGATGGAACTGTACGGTGCGTAGGAAATGTTTTAGATGATCTTTTTTGTTTTTTTTTTTTTTTNNNTTTTTTTTTTTGCCGCTGGGTGAGTGATACTATATAAAGAGGGATAGTTTTGAAAATTAGTGGCAACACGTGTCAACTTTTGGCTTGCATATGGTGACACGTAGTCGTACAAGAGTTATGTCATTGCCAAATGGTATGCTTATCTCTCTCTCTTTTTTTTTTATTTTTTTATGAGCTATAGAAATTTTATAGAAACTAAAAAACGATACAACTATCAGACAACTCAAACCTGAATGAACCAGCTAAAAGCCGAACAGACATAAATGAAAATTGGCTACAACCTAAGTTAGAACAAATATTCAACTACACACTCAACAACTAAGAGAAAGACTAAAAAGCTCATTTATAACCACTCCTACACGAAAAATAACACACTCTCAAACGACAAAATATACAAAAACACAAAAACGCAAATATCTACGAAACAAAAATGCTAGAGCGTCTCCAACGCAACGCTAGATTTGGCTTCATGCGCTGGATAATTGTGTGAAAATTTTCCCCAATACTGCATTAGACTTCTGCGCCAAAAAGGGGTTGGGAATAGAGTTGCGCCATATGTGGCGCAACACTGTAGCTCAAAGCTACAATTTTCTTTTTGTTTTTTTTTTCTTTTTTTTGTTTTATTATTGGTAAATTTTTGCATAATGTGTATTAGCAGGTATTTTTTTTATGCTAAATAATTTGTGCAATGTATTTTTTATGCTACATAATTTTGTGTTTAAATAATTCGTGCAATGTATTTGTTAAGCTAAATAATTTTGTGTTTTCTATTTATTGATATATTATAATTTTATTTTTCTATTTTTTAATAATAAAATGATCCCATATGATACTATTTTTCTATCATTTGGGTAATAAATAATTACATAAATTACATATTCATATATATAATAATTTATTTATTAATAAAAATAACTAAATATATTTTTATTATTTGAGTACAAAAAATTTTGTATAAAATTTATTATACACATATATACCAATTCATTTGAGATAAAAATAAATAAAAAAATATTTTATTATTCGAGTAATTAACATTTTATATAAGATTAAATATACATATATATACCAATTTATTCGAAATAAAAAATAAATAAAAAATAATATATTTGATGTAGAGTAAAATATAGAGATAAGGCCTGGAGATGAATGTTCAACTCTACTCTAGAGTAGAGTAAAATCCGCGCTAGAGTAGAGATAAGGACTGGAGATGGCCTAACAATAATTAAAAAAAAAAGATAGAAAAAACTCTTTCCTCGGCCAACAAAACACCAAGAGCAATACAACAGCGGCACCCACAACCACCCACCTCTACAGACTGGACCACGCCTCGAGAAGCCGCACCTGAAACTCAAACATGCCTAATTGGATCCGCACCCCTCAAACCCTACGCCCATGCACACAATCGACCTCGGCCCTGCAGCCGGAGAAGCACGGACCAGAGACCCCAACTCTTCCCCACGCCACCGCCGCTCCAACCCCACCCATACCACGGACCGAGATCGGAAAATGTCGGCCGTCCCTTAACCCAAGCACCACGGGAGAAAAGGGCATAAGGAAGAATGCCCGCTGATCCTCCACTCCGACCAACACCACCCGGTAGTCGGAGCTACAACCCCGGAAAACACACCAACACCCGCCACCATTGCGACGCCAGGAAACGGAAGACCAACACCTCGTAACGGCACCAGACCAACGACGAAACTGCCTGGGAAACCTTCCTCTTCCAACAACAAGTACAGACGTAGACATGAAATTAGGGCCAGGCCACGCCGCCCAGAGCCGGCCGCCGTCGAGAAGACCGACGCCTCGCTGGGGAAGAAAGAAAAACGGTTGGAGCACTAGAAAAGGGGGGAAGCGAAGAGAAACAGGAAAAGAAGAGAAAATCTCTCATATTATTGACGTTTTGGAGATTTTCTGGGGTGAGATGTCGGTTTTCTCTAACTTCCAATGTGTGAAAATTCGAGCTCACATGAAGTTAAGATCAAATAATTAAGTTGATTTATTAAATGAGACAAGCTTATTCGTAATTTTTTTTTTTTATAAAAATTATCATATGATCTAATTTTTTGCGAACGAACACTTTGTATTGTAAGGTTAAATTTATTACACGAGCTGTGACGAATCGAACTTTCACGAATTTAAACGAGTAAAACCTTTTTCGTTGTGCCTCGCGAATGTTCTTAAAATTAAATATCTCTCTCTCTAAAATATTCTCCCACCACCGAAAGCTTCGACCTTCCAATTTCTCAGGCCCCCCTTTTCTCGTCGGCAGCGCAGGTCCGAGCATGTTCTGACCATGGCCAAAGTAGCTGATGTCTCGTCCGCCCCACTTGTTGCCCTAGTGTGGGAGAGGGTAGGCGGCAATTCTCACCGCGACGCCCTCTCTCCGGCCAGGGTGGGTGCCGTGGTTTTCCTTGCAGTCTCCTACCTCGTGCCGGCCGAAAGACATCTTCCCGACCTCTTGTGTCCAGCTGCGTCTGATTTTTAGTCTCCTTTATGGATTTTTGTTCTGCGATAGTTTGTGCCTCAATTTATACCTCCTTGGTCACCTGTGTAATCCCTAGGGGGTTGGTCCAAACTTTTGTTTTGATTCTAGTGGTGTCTGTTGACTCGTCAGTTGTATTCTTTTGAGTTTTCAGTTCATAACATAGTTATCGGTTAAAAAAAAATCCTTTGTTCGTTTGTTAAACAAAGCAAATCTATCTGGTTCGACTCATCTATTAAACAAGCATTAATTCATACATAAATTATTCAATTCGGTTCGAATCGAAGAACACTCCTACAATTTGAGTACATAGGTCAATTTGACCCAAACAACGGTAATGGGTTCCATGGGTCAACAATTCCCTTGGCCACTCGCCAAAATTTAAATCGTTAATTTGTGGTCAGAAAAACGTGTATAGCATGTGGTAAGACTACAAAAATGGTCGAACTAATAGTCTAATATCATATGATCACTAGAAATATCCAAGCATGCCCCCACAAGATCAACCAAACAAAAAGTTCGTCATATGGAGAATATTTTTCAGTAAGTTTTATCAATCTGTAAAGTCTATAAAGTTAAAAAACTGTAAAGCTGAAATGTCAGATGACAAGCCAGATCCAGAGATGCCTACAAGACCCGCCAAACACAAGTTCTTGTGTAGACACACAATAACTAAATAATCGACATTCCTAATGGAATTCTTCGAAGGAATTTGGTTAAACGTTCCAATGACTTCCAAAAGAATGGTTACCCAAAACTCGTAAAGATCCATTAAATAACAGCAACTTGAGGAGAAACGTACTTCGAACGAAGTGAGTCATGCTTGGTCGAGACTTTAGACTTGGAAATTTTGAGCACTTCAACTCCCTCTTGGACCTTGGCTTCTAGCGCCTTTGGTGAATCCAATAGCAGTAGCAACTCAGAATTGTCCATCTCCAAAATCATTCCTGTTATCTTTGCTGCAAGATCAGGCTGCAAACCGAACAAAAAAAAAAAAAAAAAAAAAAAAAAAAAAAAAAAAAAAAAAAAAAAAAATAGAAAAAAAATAAAAACACTTCTAATGTTGTAATATTTGCCGCGTGAGAAAAATAATTTTGACTCGGGAAAGCTAACGAACGGAAGTACGAACAAGCTTATGAAGTTATGCTGATAGTGATGCCAAGAAAACAAGAATCACTTGATATGTGAGGGTGTGTGCGCGCTTCATGGCAATGCTTGTAGTTAGGTCAGCAAGGGAAACAAACTTAAGTTTAAACTTTCGATTTTGAAGAAACTTGTGTCAATCATCCAGGAAAGTTAATGAGATCATTTTAATTTGAAGTTATCAACTTCAAAATTAGGAACACCCTTCATGTACCACAACCAACCCCATGTGAGTTTATAATTTCCAAAGAACACTTCCACTTATCATCGATGAAAAAATGTCATTGGGTAACTCTAATACTTTGACATTTAACTATTTCTTATTTCGTCTCTCTCTCTCTCTCTTTCTCTCTCTCTCTCTCTCTCTCTCTCTCTCTCTCTCTCGCTTGTGTGTGCGTTTGTGTGTGCGTCAAAGAGTGATTGGATATAGATTTGATTGAGTTTTGATTAGTTTTTTTAGTTACCATAATTAATTTTGAAAAAGTGGTTATGTTAGGTTTGAGTGGAATTTTGAGTTTGCATTAAAATAATATTTAAAATAAAATGGTTAAAGTTGATTTGACGTAAAAGTAGGAGATATATGATTGGAAGTGATAAATAGTTAAAATTATTTGAGCGGATGAATAGTGAATTAAAGTTGATGTGATGTATAAGAACGATTGTTTGGTATATATTATTTAATTATATTGATAATATTGAGGATGGTAAGAATGAGTAAAAAAAGTAGTTGGGTTGAAAATGATTGGATATTTCTAGCCAAATCAATATCCAATCACCCAATCCCAGTTCGAAAAGAGAAGTATGCCTTCAAAACAGTAGTAAAAGGAGAACTGCGTAGAGGAAAGCGCTTCACCTGATGATGAGCAACAAGTGGATAAAGATGCTCGCCAAGTATATGCTTCTGCTGCTCGGGAGAAGCTGAATCAAGCAAGGTACTCAACACCTGTGAGCCCCCAGCACTCAGTCCAGCACCAAATACGATAGGCTGAGATAGGAAGTTAACAACTTTTTGGTTAATCACATATTGGAATTGGATGTCCGTTTATAGCATACTTCAACTGTGCAGCATGTTTCATGAAGGCAACAGATTTTTGTTCCTTGATTGGCACAACACAAACTGGAACCAAAGATTGCACGCTATACTTGAAAATTCCTCAGGCAAAATAGATCAAGCAAACAAATAACCAAATGATATTGTTCTTCATTCTTATTAGAATTGGGTTGACATTTTTGATGACATTTTTCGAGGACCATTTAATCTAATAACGCAAGAGACTGATTTTAAACAAGTTATTCAAAGGGCATGAGATGGACATGCAGTGCTGCGTAGGTTTGTCAAGCAAAAAAAAGAAGGAAATAGGCCACAAGAGATCCAATTAATTGGCTAACAAAAAAATATATAATAAATTTCGGAATGTAAATCAAATTTAAAAACCAACCTTATGGTTCCTTGAGTCATTAGCCTGCTGCAAATGTGATGCATGTGGCAACGCAGAACCCTGTTGAAAATCATGGCCATTCAACCTTCCTCTGTTCTGTCTGTGAGGTCTTGGATTATTAGGTGCCTGTAAAATTTAAGAAAAAAGAGACTACGAAACTGATGGACTGGAATTGATATTACTTTGTAAGGCAACAGTAAATTAAACCAATCCCTTTGATAATAAAACAATTACAAATGAGTCGATAAACTGAAATTCATAAAACTGACCAATGCGCCTGGAGATGGACGGACTCCCGGTCCAGAAGTATTCGAAACAGCATTAGCCCTCCATCCAGGCCTGATTCCCCTAGGCTGATACACAACAGCACTTTGTGCAGGAAATTGAGGAACAACACTAGAAGCTGGGTAATAGAAATGAGAGTATCCGCCAGGAAAAATAGTTGATGGCCCCCCTAATCCCACCATCCGTTGCATATGCATGAGCTGCAATTGTGCTTGTCTGTCCTCTTTCCTCTGAGCAATCGCCACATACAAGGGCTTTTTACGCAAAACTAAACCTGGAAATATATGCATGGGCAGATGTATGAGATTCCTAGACGCTTAAATCATTAGCACAAAAGGAATCTAGAACAGTTCTTTGAAAGCCGTTGAATAAATAAGAACCGGACATTTCTGATATCTAGAATTTCCTTCAATATAGCAACCCACTTCTGTATTTCCCATTTTCATAGGTTCGGCAAACATCATTCAAAATTCTGAACGCCAGCCAAAATTCACCTCAACATACCCATGTACATCAAAGTATCAGTTACAGTCTAGATCCGAGAATTCTGAAGTACCCGATCAAATTACGTGTTGTCAGGAGAAAGAAGAAAATAAGTAAATTTTCACGGTTATCTATCTATGAAGAACCAGGCCAGCAATTCATGTAGCTATTATTATATACCTTGCTACATATTGAACCAGTAGAACAGACAGCATATAAACACACCCACCATGCAGAGTATAAACAGCTTTATTGGCCTCCTCTGGGGTGGAGAAGCAAACGAATCCAAACCCTTTGCTCACTCCTTTGTCATCTCGCATAATCTTTTCGGACGTAATTGTCCCACATTTGCTAAAATGTTGCTTCAGCTCATCGTCTGTAACATCATCGTCAATATTCTTCACATAGACATTCGACGCCTGAAATTGATAGATTAAACCATATATCTTGACCACAGATGAAAAAATATTACACGAGCAAATTTCAAATAAAGTGATTCCCATTGGACCTGGTATTTGAGGAGCCATTCCTTCCTTTTCTCCTCAAACTTTCGGCGTAAGATTTCCTCTCGTTCAGATTTCTTCTGTGCTCGGGCAACATACAAGACCTTTGATCCTGCCAAATATGCACATTATAAAAGTTCTGCAGCATAATGCTACAACAACTTTGGTAGAAGTTTACCGCATTACCAAGTTTTGATCCATGGAAAGCTTCCACTGCACGTTTGGCATCACCGGGGTTCTCAAAGTTGACAAACCCAAATCCTCTGGATGCACCATTCTCATCCTTTGATATGACTAGGCTTACAACTTTTCCATATTTTGAGAACTTCTCCCTGAGGTCTTCTTCAGAGAAACTTGCATCCAAATTCTTCACATACAGATTCGTGTACTTCTCTTCGTAACTAAGATTAGCTCGGTCACTCTTTTTCATGAACTTAGCCACAAACCTATGCAATCCCCCAAAATTGATGAAATTAGTTACGCGGGGATGCCAAGTTTATAAATACATAAAAAGTTGAAAAACATCATAGAGGAACCAGATATACATTTGTTTGCCTTCATTAGTTGACCCATTAAGCTCCTCAATAGCAGCTTTTGCAGAGTTTTCCGATTCAAATTGGACAAAGCCATAACCTTTACTTTTTCCATCATCAGAAGTGACAACTTTACATGATAATATGTTGCCAAACTTCTGAAACATTTCTTGGAGCTTAATGCAATCGATTGATTCGCTCAGATTCTACATGAATTAACCAATATAAATTATCCTTCTACAAATAAGTGGATCGTGAGATAACATAAAGATATCTCAGTAACTGGAACAAACTCAAAATTCAAAAGAAAAGTTACCTTGATAAAGACATTTCCAACTCCACTTCTTCTAGCATCAGGATCACGATGCGACCATGTAACCCTTATTGCTCTCCCCTTCAACGAGGAATGGTTTTTCTCCTCAATAGCACGGATGGCTATTCAAAAGAAATAATTAAAAGCTATTGTGTCAAATCAAATTAACGTCCAAGCAACAAAATTTATGGTAGCACAATATTTCAAGCATCACAGGCAGCCAGACCCAATTATAAGGCACTCCAGAAAAATCAAGAGACTTTGCCCATCTTGGAATCTGATTTTGAAATATAATGGATCAAATCTGTAAATCAATAAATGAACAATTTTTTTTCATCTCAATTAGGGGTTAAATGAAAATTTAATAGCTGTTCTGATTAAGACCCTGCAGATTACTACTAGAATGTGTTCCATGGAAAAATTCGTTCCTACTACCCATAAGGGGTTGATCACCATTGGGGATCAACACATATCAACATGGGTGTGTGTGATTATGTGTGATTGTCTGTAATCCGACGGTGATCAACCACGGGTAGCATCGATTTTTCTCGTTCAATGAAAACAAATAGTCGTAGACTTCCGGCTTCAGTGATAATTGAATCAGAACCATTTAGTATCATCGACCCGATTTTTGAGTGGCAATTCCACTATAAAGACAAAAAAAGCATTCTCAGAAGTTATAAACTATGAATCACTATCAATGCAGCAACACAACTTCAACATTTTCATGCAAGACAGAGGAAACACATAATCAAGCTCTGATTTCATTTCGCTCCACGAGGCAATTGATCTGATCATCTCAAACATGAAAATTCTCAATCACAGCCACTTGATCAGCCAAAAATTCAAAATCAACCAGAAAACTCCAATCGTGAAGAAATTTAATTAGTCCCCATCAGAATAAATGAACCACGATCCACTCCCACACACTCGCACACAATCACGAACACCACACACCAAAAAAGAATAACAAAATAAAAGAGAACACCAAATGTGTGCAGAAAAAAAGACGTTACCGTCCTGATGAGAGAGGAAGTTGACGTAGCCATAGCAGAGCGACCGGCCCGTGGACGAATCGCGGCAGACCCGAACAGACGCGACGTTGAACTCCGAGAACAAGTCGAACAGATCGCCGTCCGTCACGTCCGCCTTCAAATCCCCGACATACAGAGACGCCGCCGGTGCCGCCGCCGCCGCCATGATTCAACACACCTACAAATTGGAAAATGCAACGGTGGTGGTGGTGGCGTTAAACTCCTCGACGAGTGGTCCAAGCGTTACGCAATGCGTTGGTATTTCAGTGGAGAATTAATGCAATTTAATACACAATCTGGAGTGAAAAGTTTCCAATTACGGGAATGAAATTACAGATCAGATTTTCTTCCTTTTGGTGAAGATAAGGTGATTAAAAAGGATTTTATTTATTGTTATTTATTTTTTGAGGAAATGCTTTTAAATGAGTTTTAAAATTTCATAAAATTACGACAAACGAGCTGAGTCGAGCTTCAAATGTTGTAACGGATGTTCGAACTTTAACGAGTTGAGTTATGTAAAAAGTTCATAAAATTATTCTAAACGAGTTGAGTCGAGCTTCAACTACTCTAACTCGCGTGCTCGATCCTTAACGAGCACAAATACTCAAGCTAGTGTTCAAGCCCTATAGATGGAACTGAATTATGTGAAAATTTTATAAAATTATTCTAAACTAGTCTAGTTGAACTTCAACTGTTGATACTCGTGCTTAATTCTTAAGGAGTCTAGATATTTAAGCCAGTGTTCGAGCCTTATCAAACTGAATTATGTAAAAAATTCACAAAACTATTATAAATAAGTCTAGTTAAGCTTCAACCACTCAAACATGTGCTTGATCCTTAACAATCCAAATACTCGAGCTAGTGTTTGAGTTAACGGGCAAATTATGTGTGAAAAGCATAGCTATTCTAATCAAGTATAGACGAGCTTCAGCTACTCAAACTCGTGCTCGATTCTTAATGAGTTCAGATACTCAAATTAGCGTTCGAGTCTTAATCAATTGAGTTATTTAAAAAATATAAAATTATTCTAAACGAGTCGAATTATGCTTCAATTAGTCAAACTCGTGCTCAATCTTTAACGAGTTAAATTATAAAGAATTATAAATTTATTAAAAATTCCTATTATTAAGACCAACAAGTCGATAATTCATGAGTGATTTGTTTAGTTTATCCATTTAAAATGTGTTTGTGTTTGTATAATTGTAAGAGAGAGAGAGAGAGAGAGAGAGAGAG